TTTTGGTTGATTGTAATCTATTACATACCTTTCTATCAAAATTATCTAACATCATCAAGATGAATTTGTTCTGACACAGTGTAACTCTGAGTTCTTGTCATATTTTATTACCATTTTCTAAACTATAGCGAATATAATGTGAGAAATGTTGAAGATGTCTGAATAAATTTTGGTTTGACTGTATCTATTTGATAAATGAAGTTAACCAACTAACATTATACATACCCTTTTGGTTTCTGTACCCAATATTTAAAAAATGTACAAATGCAATAAAGATATCAGTATCGGTACTCGGTATCGGCAAGTACCAAAAATAAAAGTATCGGTATCGGGCGAGTACTGGAAAAAGTGGTATCGGTGCATCCCTAATAATGAGTTTATAAATGAACTGATGGCTCAATCGGATTGAAAAGCCTTAATTTAAAAACACCTCAGATGATCCAATTGCGCTCAATGCAAATGAAATTTTGACTGGATTGAAAGGAATGGTGCAGACCTACCTCAAAAATCAAAAGGAAATGACAGGTTAAATGGAAAGGCCTATTGGATAAGTCACAATTATGCAAAATTCATGCAGGTGGAAACTGGTCTTTCAACTTAACCAGTAAATATGAAGAATCTTCATATGCACACATAATGAACACCAAAGCAATTATCATAAAGAATGGATGCATCCTTCCTGAAACGTGAGCAGGGCAGGCTCTGAGATGCCCTTTCGGACATCAGGAGTAGATCTGCTTTCATATCACTCATCTGCCAGGAGGACAGAGCAGCCTCAGATGGCACAGACGCTGGCACTGTCTGTTAGATATTTCAGGGCTCAACAATAAGGATGGCCCAGAGCCAGGGTGAGAGAAGTTTGGGCCAGTTCACAGATGCTTCACTCGCCCAACTGGAGCACTGCTGCATTTATGCTGTCAATTCAGTCTGCAGATGTGCATATTTAGGGGCCTATGATTTCCACAATGCAGAAAACGTGGACGGAATTGAATCTAGTCATAAAAATGGAATTTACTGTATAATGCAGAAAGTCACCGGATTTGGAATTTTGGATAAATACATAAAAAAAGTAGGGATGTACAATTAATCAAAGAGATATAGCCTAGTGCCCGTGAATATTAAAACTTCAAAATACAATTTAGATATGAAATCTGCATGTCTCTAGGTAAATGAATGGCATAATTTTTCTTAATCACCGTTAACTGTAACAGTAAATCCCTGTTGTGCAGCACTTTGTTTGCCAAAAAAATAAAAGGAATTGTTTAATTTTCATTTGATTTTAAAAGATTTATAAAATATTTAATGTTTTATGTCTTCATTTGAGTACTACCGTTTTTTTATAATAAATTTGTATTAAATCATAAGTCCAGAAAAAATAAAACACACAACACAGAATTCCTGAAAAAAATAAAATAATTAAACATTTTATAGGGCCCAATTATTGTAGAAAAATGTAATAAATGATTAAGTTGTTATAGTTTAGTGAATTCAATTGATTAGACATACTTCATTTTTTGAAACCATTAAAACGGAACCCAGAAAAATTAACACGGGGGGAAAAACGGAATTTGGAATAAAATAAAACAGAATTTGGAAAAAATTAATTAGGGATGCACAACATTATCGGAAACTTATCGAAATCAGCCGATAAATGCAAATAACATTAGGATACTTGTGTTTCTGTATAAATAAAGCAGTAATTGATGTAATAAAATCACGAGTCTGTTTTGATTTAAAGATCAGAAGCTATAGCTTCTCAATATACAAACATACTTGTAAATTAAATAATTTAATATATACACATGTATTCATTAATATGTAATATGTTTTTTTTTTATGGATTATGAAAACTCATATACAAGGAGCTCTATAAGATTTTTGGAATTTTTACAGCTCTTTTGCTTTAGACCATCTGTTAATGTTAAATCCACAAATACAATTTTAAGGTTTCAACTGCATCTGTCTGAGAAATAAAAAAAACAGCAGAGATTGATTTTATTATAGTTATTTTCAAAGCTTTAAATGTACTTTCATTAAAAAAAAGAACTTTAATAATGTTTATTAGTTTTAACAAATAAGTTTTTGCTCAAAACTAACCAAAATTAAAACTAATTTGTCTATAATTTCTGCACAGGAGAGACTTGGTGTTGTTTCAAAACAAAAGGATATATAGGTATCAGCTATATCAGCCAAAATTATTTGAAAAATATCGGCATATCGGATATCAAATCTAATAAATCTATAAATCTAATATCGTGCATCCCTAAAATTAATACAGAATATGGAAAAAAAAATGGAATTTGGGAAAAAATCAAACAGAATTTGAGGGAAAAATATATATTTGTAAATGTAATTTTTTGAGTCATTTACGTTTTATCAGTTATTACTAATCTAGTTGTCAAATTAACCTGGCACTGTATATGACAAATATTGTTGGCTCTTTGACGAATTACTTTTGTAAGTCGCTTTGGAACAAAGCAGCACCTAAATGTAAATGTTAAAAATATGTTGACAAAAACATTTGATTCAGGGCCAACAAAAACCTTTACAGGGCAAGTGAAAATCTGATCTACTGTCCCAACTGTGCCAATGGAAAAAATGCCCTGCGTGTGTTAGTTTCATTGCTTGTTCAAGTTTACACCACCTAAGAAAACATGTTTGTTTGCACAGGCGGTTGAAGCAAGCACCATCATGAGAAACTAATAAAATGCTTTAGCACTGGTTCTAACATTACGACAACTTTAGGTTACTTTCATTTTTGAGACTTAAAATCAAAACAGCTCAGGTGCTACTCAAAATGAAACAAGTCAACAAAAATGACACAAATTTTGAATAAATCCAGGCCATAAAAATATATATATATACAAATAAATATATACATCCACAGTTGTGGTACAAATACGAAGAAGCTCTCGGCCCCATAACGGCTCCAAACATCTCACAAACAACAGCAGCATTCAGAAGAGACTCTGACTGTAATAACGTGCTGAGTATTTGATAACAAAATGACACAGTTTCAGGTCTTGCCTTATCAAATTCATTAGGCATCTTAGTGTTCAGATGAGCTGCAAAAAAAAAAATCAAATTTAACCGTTTTCAAAGAGCCAAATCATAAGACAGCTTTAATTTCTTACAGCATTGCCTCTGTTTACACACTCGCTTTCTGTGAATTGAATGACTTGAACAGAAGCTGCATAACACGCATATCAAACATCTGAATCAAGCACACATAAATCTGATACTAAATGTAATAAATTTAATTACCATACAGTAGTGCTGGGCGGTATACCGGTTCATACCGAATACCGGTGTTTATTTTTGTTATGATATCAATTTGTTAATATCACGTGCACATTTTTTTGTAAATTTTATTTTTTTTGTTACTCAGACGCAGGCAGTGCGCTGCATGAGACAGAAAAGTAATATAGCCAAAACAACCGCATAGCCGTCTTTAGTGTAGATGCATGTTGATTTTATCAGACGATGCCGCGATTATAAATGAGAGTGACTCCTGGTTAACATGTATTAAAAGGGGTCGTGTTTAGTCACTATTTAGTGTGGTATTTTTTGACAATATTCACTCATCATGACAGTAAAATAGGGCATTCTAAGTCAATATACTGCAGTATTTCCCCTCTCAATCAGTAGAAAATATGGTTAACACCCGGTCATGCATGAAAAATAAAAAACCGTCATATACCGTGAAACCGGTATAAATTTGAATAATACCGTGATATAAATTTTTGGTCATACCGCCCAGCACTACCATACAGATTAGATATTGTCCCATGTAGAAAAGCAATGCTCTCTATAATAAATGAATATGCATCACCATAATACTCTTATACTCTTAATAATAATCTTAAAATACCTCCGCCTTTGTTTAAATTATGCGAGATACAAAAGCAAACATGTAATATTTCATAAAGCAGTTCTTCACAATAACATTAACTACCCAACATTTATTACCCTGCTGAACGATTCACAACTCTTTAAACATCTTGATGTTGTTATAATATCTTGAGTCAATGATATGAATAAATAATATTCGCATAATAGCGCGTTTTATCATTTGGCTGAAGCCCAATTTTAGCCATTAGCATTATCCGGCAGGTTGCTAGGAGACTCCATAGAGATTCTATACTTAGCCTAGCCGAGCTAACAAGCTAACCCAATTGTCGTCAATACTCCTTATTCTTCTCGAAATCTGTGCAAAAAGCATTTTAACCATTAAACGCCACGTTGACTTAACTGTAAAATGCACTGCGTCCTTCCTTTTCGGACAAAAGCAGCTTTTCATGACCCGCAGCACACAGCGGTAGCAGCAGGCGTATCGGCAGGCCGCAGGAGCCTCGGCAGCGCGTGAGAGCGCAGCGGGAGGGAATGCGGCGGGAAGAGCGCGAAAGCTCGGCAGCGGCAGGCGAAAGCAGCAGCGAAGCTAACAGTGCTAATGCTAATCGACGTCTCTCTTACCCCCAAAAATACACTTCACACAGATAGACAGACAGACGCTGTGGTTTGGAAAGATATACGCCACTGGTTCCTCTTCTGTCTGTCGTAACAGCTCACGACTGGACTGTTGACATTCCCGTTAATGAGTTAATCCATTTTAAACGACGCATTTCTCCTTAATTTGCCAGAGTGGTTTAGGGGTCCTCAGCAGCTGCCATTTCTAACCAGTGACTGAAACTGAGAGGGGAAGGAGGTAGGTGTGTGTGTGTTTGTGTGTGTGTGTGTACGTACTTGTGTGTGTTTGTGTGTGTGTGTGTTTTCTGTGGTTTTGTTGCTGATGTAGTTGTGATTAACTGTGATTGCCATTTAATATCTGTTTTATATTCTGAATAAAAGGCCAATAATTACACACTCGAACCAGGAATAATACTATTGCTGTAATGCAAAACAGTCCAGGTTAGATTAAATCTTGAGTATTCAAGAATTAAAAGGTAGGCCAATGCATGCTGATTCATTTCATGATTAAAAATGTATTTAATGTCAACAGGCCTTAGTTAAAGTAACCTGGTTATACAGTACAGTCATGATATCAGATTATTGATATTATGATACTGTATTTGATCTAAATGGAAGTGGTTTTTAAACAGGGGTCCGCAAAGGAGTGCTAGGAGGCCAATGGACAAGTTTAGAGAAAAACAGTGTAAAAATAAATAAATATTAACAAAAATCTAATTCTAATAAATAAATAAAATGCTTAAAAATAAAGAAATAATATAAAATAGATTTCCACAAATAATAAAACACATTACATAAATAATACATCTGATATTTTCCAGATAATATTTTACATAAACAAAAATATTTCACGGTATAAATTGTGTCTTTATGCATGACAAAATGAGTTTGCCATTGAATATACAGTATATGTTGTTGTTTTAATATGAGCAACTGCCCAAAAGTTATATTCTGAATAATACTATTACTCAGAAAGAATACTATTATAAACAATTTTCTTATGTCAGATCTTCAGTATTAACAGATACTATTTTAATGATATATGGTATAAGGTAATAGGCAATATTTTGGTAATATTTTGCTCTTTATCAAAGATTATCTGCAGTGCACAGGTAAAACCCTGTAGGCGTGTTTGAGTGTGAAAGAGAGAGATTGTGATTGTGTTTTGCAGCAACACAATGATGGTGGGTCTCAGATAAAATCTCATTGACAGAGAGTGTTTTTCCCATTGAGGACAAACAGTGAAAGCTCTGATCTCTGTTGCCCCAGATCTCGCAGAGAACTAATGAGATTGGTGTAATGAAGCCCACAGTTCATTCTTAAGAAGGATTACCAGGTAAACAGAGCCCACAGCTTTACTAGCAGTATATGTAGATTGATTTCATTTTTTAACCACATACTGAGGTTTAATCAATATTAATATTTGAGGATTGTAATTTGCATGCATGCACAGCCTAATTTGTCATCTTAAATTTGATGTGAAGGTTGAGAACACATCAGCTCATGTTGGATGTTTGTTAGCTGAATACATAAATGCCCTGTCAGCACTGGCCTCTGATCTACAAGCGTTTTGAGCGGTGCCATCTGGAGTGCCACGCAGACATGATAACCTCACTTTAATTACATTAGCAGTGCCATCAGATAGTGAGAGAGTGGAGGGCTCCCCCAAATGATAAATTATTGTATTAAGTCACAGAGCAGATGTGTGTGCTGATGGATGGTGTTAGATAAATGGAAATATGATTTCCAGAAATCAAAGTTATACATTCAGATGATCAGCATTGTTGCTGTAAAGGGCCTTCTTATGCTGGACGTCTGGACGTTGTATTTTATTTTATTTATTTTATTTTATTTTTTGCTAATTAAAAATGCAAATTAAATTGGAGAACTTTTGTGAAGAGCAAAGGTTTCTGTAACAGTCCAGTGGTATCTCAGTGTTATTTTATTATTTTGAATGAGCCTTTATTTTTATATGTTCAGTTTTCATTTTAATTTAAATTAGATTTTATATTATATTTTTTTAGTTTAGTTTCAATTTTAGTAATTGTATTACTTTTGCCATTTTTCCTTTTAACTTTAATTTAGTTTTATTATACTTTTAGTTTTAGTAATAAAAAAAAAGAAGTAATTTTCTGTAATGGTCCAGTGGTATTTCAGTATTATTTATATTATAATATATATATTTCGTATTTTGAATTCTTATATTTATTTTCAGTTTTTGTTTAAATTTTAGTTTACATGTTAGTAATTTTGTTACTCTTGTCATTTTATTAGTTTTAGTTTAGCTTTTTTATTTTTCATTTTTCATATTAATTTAAATATTACTTTATATTATATTTTTAGCTTAGTTTAGTTTCTATTTTAGTAATTTTGTTACTCTTGTCATAGTTTTAATTTAGTTTTTATTTTTATATTTTAATTTTTCATATTTAATTTAGCTATTATTTTTAATATTTTCATTTTTCATATTAATTTAAATGTTATTTATATTATATTTTGTATTTTAGTTTAGTTTAAATTCGAGTAATTTTGTACTTTTGCCATTTTATTAGTTTTAGTTTAGTGTTTTTGTTTTTCTATTTAGCTTTAATTGATTTTTATTTCAATTTTAGTTTTAGTACTTTTAGTACTGCAACTTAAACTTGTATTAATTTGCAAGGCAATATTTTCAATAAAGTTTTCATTTAAGTTTTTAAACTTAAATTTACATTTTAAATTTGCAGGTTTTTTTATCTAATATTTATATTTTGTTTTATCTCAGCTTTATTTCAGTTTCTGAAAATGTTTTTAATAGTTTTAGCTTCAATAACAACGCTGGTCATTAAATGAATAATGAACACTTTACAACTCTCATTGTTTAAAAAAAAGAGATGCTAAAATTATTTTCAAAATTAAACTTTTGTGTGGCACAGAAAAATATAATGCATAAAGCCTTTGCATAAAGGTTTGGAAGAACATGAAGGTGAGTAAATAACTTATAGTTAACCTGTGCTCTACATACAGTGCTTTGCACATCATTTCTAGGTTTCATATGAAGGGATTGAAATAAAGACATAAATCTCATCTTTGGTAAGACTGTCTTTCAAAATGCCTTGGAAAGTGTGCTCAGATCTCGACTTCATCTGTCTTTGGCTCTTGTCCTACTGCTGTTTGACCACAGGAGGGTGGCATTGGTACAGCTGTGTGAGGTACTGCACTCACTGTCTCTTAATATTATCTCATGCCTTTCTTATTAAACAGCTGAATCAACTCATCATGTGTCTGTGAACTGAACTGAGTGTGTCAGATAAGAGAAGCAATGACAGCCTGTATGCTATTCATAGTTCATCTACTGTACGTACATCCACTGTTTGAAGAAAACATCCCAAAAGGGCAATTAGTAAATAAATAGAGAATGGATCAAATGTGTTGCTTGCCTGTGCACCTTATAAGCTGTTGTGTGTGGTTGCCAGGGTGATACTATGCGGTTGCTAAGGTGTTCTTAGCTGTTCTTGGCATATTGTTATTCTGTTGCTAGCGTCATGTTGTTTCTTTAATATAAGTGGGTTAAGATGAATACTTAGGTTTAGGAGTTTGTTCAAATCATTAACTAGGTGTTATCATTAGGCTACTATCAAATCATTGAGGTAAAGAATAATATGATGCTTGCATTTTTAAATGTTTTTAAAAGAGGTCTCTTAAGCTCACCAAGGCTGCACCATTTGATCAAAAATACAGTAAAAACAGCAAAACTATGAAATATTATTACAACTTTAAATAGCTGCTTTCTATTTTGTAAAATGTAATTTATTTCTGTGATCAAAGCTGAATTTTCAGCATCATTACTCCAGTCTTCAGTGTCACATGATCTTCAGAAATCATTCTAATATGCTGATTTGCTGCTTAATTTGACCAGTGCTGGAAACAGTTGTGCTGCTTCATATTTTTGTGGAAACTATGATACATTTTATTTTTCAGGATTCTTTAATGAATCGAAAGTTCAAAAGAACAGCTTTGATTTGAGAATTTTCTGTAGCAATGTAAAAATCTTTACCGTCACTTTTGATCAATTGAATGCATCTTTGCAGAATAAAATTAATACAAATTTGAGCTGTAGTGTATATTGTCTGCTGTATAATGGTTTCTTCTGTTTAGTTGAATATTGAAAACAGCATTTGTAAAGTCAAGTCATATGAGATTGGCACAGAGGCTGTGGTGTATATATAGTGTTTTCACTGTCCAGTTGGTGTGTAGGTTGTGTAGGTGCACTTGTTGTTTTCTTATTTGTTCATCTGACACATACAGGACTGTTAGGGCTTCCTATTTTTATTTATGTTTGTTTTAAAGGCTTCTTTCTTTCCTAAGATTTATTATTATTTTTATATTTTATTTATATCGCTGTTCCGTATATAAACTTTTTTTTTCCCGTACATTGGACTTTTTATATATGTTTTCAAATATAAGAAAATATTTCAGGAAAAATAAGTTGCTAAAATATATTCAAAACACATACATCTCTATTATGTATATAAACTATATTTTTTCCATACATTGAGGAATGAATGACTATATAAACCAATATTCTCTCTCGAGCTGATGGTGTCCAAGCAGAAAATATATTAGGAGAATGTGTTTGGTTGTATGTGTATTCTGGAAAAATAAGTTACTAAAATATATTAAAGAGACATACATATTAACAAATACACACATCTCTGTTATGTGTATATAAACTATATATTTTTTGCTATATGAATTGATGACTATATGACTTTCTCTATGATTTTTATTGGATTTATTGGATAAAATTCACTAATTTTAAAAATGCTTTTTAGTAGATGCACTACTACACACTTTCCAAATGCATTAGATTTGGATTTAGATTCTAGTCAGCAGCCAGTGGTGTAGCGGTTCAAGTTCAGGGTTGGTAAGTGCAAGGACTGAGCTATAACCTTTGTGCCCTTTACTGTAAAAATGTACGGTAAAAAAACGGCAGCTGTGGGTTTCGGAATTTTACCGTAAAAAATACAGTAGCAACGTTTTACGGTTTAACTTAAATGTACAGTTAAATACTGTAATTTCATTAACTGATATAATATTAATATACCAACCTTATTGAAGTACTGAAATCTGTTTTGTACCTTTGTAATACACTGATAACCACCAAATGCAGGTGGTGATGAGAAAGTCACGTGATGAACCAAAACCCATCACAAACAGCTTTTAAACAATAACATATATAGAAGGTGCACAGTGTCATTCACACAAACACTAAACACCATC